GCGTGTCCCACAAGAGTGTTCCGCAAGGGTGCCCCACCAGAGTGTCCGACAAGAGTGCCCTCCAAGAGTGCCCCACCAGAGTGTCCCACAAGAGTGTCCGACAAGAGTGTCCTCCAAGAGTGCTTCACAAGAGTGTCCTACAAGAGTTTCCTACATGAGTGTCCCACAAGAGTGTCCCATAAGAGTGTCCCACAAGAGTGTCCTACAAGAGAGTGTCCCCCAAGAGTGTCCCACAGGAGTGTCCAACAAGAGTGTCCTGCAATAGTGTCCCACAAGAGTGTCCCTTCAGAGTGCCCTACAAGAGTAACCCACAAGAGTTTCCTACAAGAGTGCCCCACAAGAGTGTCCCACAAGAGTGTCCGACAAGAGTGTCCTCCAAGAGTGCCCCACAAGAGTGTCCCACAAGAGTGCCCGACAAGAGTGTCCCACAAGAGTGCCGTATAAGTGTTTCACAAGAGTGTCCCATTTCCAGCAGAGTAACATGTGGCGGCGGAGTCCGCCATGTGACGCACGAGGTCAGCAGGAGAAACAAGAAATCGATCGGATACTTCCATTAAGCGGTCACTTGTCGAACGTGTTTGCATTCGGGTTCGTGGGTTCCATCTTGTTGCTTTATTAACAACACCCCTGGTTTAATGTCTACGCTTTTCCACTTTTCACTGATTTTAACCTTCAAGAATTTTCCCTTTATTGAAAGATCCTTGTCTTTTCATTGATTACCAATTGAAATCCTTTTTGGTTGACTCCCTTTGAACTGCTTTTGACTTCTGTTGATTCATTTCAAACGTTTTTTTTTTAAATTTTTGTGTTTAGTCATTGATTAAACCTTTTCACACTATTGCAACAATCTATTCCACAATGGGTTTAGCCCAGTACACTAGAAATCTTGACCAACATAACCCCTACAATAATGTTTGCCCTTTTTTGGCTTCAACAATAGCACCCCCTGCAGTCACATGTACGCTTTTCATTTTCTTTTTTGTGTGAGTTAACTTTTGAAATGTCAATGCTGTATTTATATATTGGTTGCCTATTGAATTCCTGTTGGTTTTTGTTGATTCCCTTTGAAATATTTTTGATTTCTCTTGATTACCTTTTAAACTCTTTGATTAAGATCTTTTCAACCCCTTCATAAAACTTATCAAAGAATTGCGAACACCTATTCCGCAAAGGGGGTAGCCCAGTACAGAAAAGCAGCTGACAAGCAGGAAAAGGTAGAATTCGAAGAGCTGAAACACATGAAAAGATAGAAGAACTAAAAAGAGGGAACATGTAGATCGTGTGGGGCGGGGGTGAGCATGTATGTATGTAAAGTAAAGTAAAGTAAAGTAAAGTAATGCAATGCAATGCAACGCAACGCAACGCAACGCAACGCAACGCAACGCATGTATGTATGTATGTATGTATGTATGTATGTATGTATGTAACAATGCATGTATGCATGTATGTAACAATGCAAGTATGTATGTATGTGCATGTGTATGTGCATGTGTATCTGTATATGTATATGTATATGTGTATGTGTATGTGTATGTATGTATGTATACATATATAGATGTGCCACCCTCTGAACAGTTTACCTTTCTTGTCTGTTTTGCAGCATTGGAGTGTCTTCTAGACATGTTGAATCTTTAATCTTGAATACATTTTGCCACAGGAACCGTTTGCAAACGTTTGCAATGGCTGACCGGCCCCCAAACATACTACAATATCAATCAAATTATGAAGAATGTTGCCACACTACAAACTTTCATTGTTTGATAGTTTTTTTTTTTGTCAGGTACTGTTAGAATATGGCATTTGGTGGCTGATTCGTTTTCGACTTGAATAGCATCATGATATTTGCAATCCTTTTTTTACATTACCTTCAGTTATATTGTCCTGCATCACCCTCATATGCATTCAAGGCATTCCCAGCTCATTGAAATGATGCATATTGTAGTTATAGGATCTTATCTATAATTATAAAGGGCTGACAATTTGTTGGTTGAACATGAGCATTGCTTTTGGGATGTTGTTGTGTGTTTTCTTCGCCTCAACTGTTATACTGGCATTGATTGAGTCTGTTGGATGTTAGGTTTTCACCTTGTATTTGATTTCACCGTTTCCTTTTTAGCTTGAACCTGAAACAAACTTGATGCGATGATTATACATCTTTTTTTAAATACATCATTGCCATTGTAGAACATGGTGTGTTCATCCTTCTCAGTGTGTTTCAGAAAGTCCTCAATGCCTTCAATCATCCTACATTCAATGGGTCGATCTCTGGTGTTCATGTGACACTTTGTAGAAGCCTGAACATCTAACATTGCACATGCTTGGCCTGATTTTTCCATTTTCCCTGACTTCTGGAATTATACGGTCACCCGTCCCCACTACGACCCCGCAACACACTGTTTGAAATATAACATATTTTTTTTGGTTGTTTATACACACGCACTCAAGTATATTACACTGCATACATGTTTATACATACTTGTCATCTCCCATTACATTACACTACATAAATGCTAAGGAAACGGAATACAAAAGGAAGTTATCAGTAATCAAAAGGAATTCAAAGCGACATCAATTGGAGTCAAAAGGAACTTACATGCATTAATAATTTAACAGGGAATCATTCAGAAACAATAATCCTTGAAAGGGGGAATCATAAAAAATCAGAAACTGAGAAGAATTCTACATAACAGGAGTACCAACATCTGACACCAAGGTATTGAAGGTAGGTCTTGGGGGGTTAGCCTAGAAAAGCGCAATGATTTTTTAAATTTCACATATCTGGAGAAATCTACTTTGCCAGAGATTCAGAGGAAAGCTTTTGACATGAAACCTTAATGACACCTTTTTATCGTCTTCGGGGGGTCGTGGGGGGGGGGGGTGAGCACATATTAATCTATATATATGGGTATATATATACACACATATTTAAGGTATCCCCAAAAGATAGATCTAACCAAACTAACTCAAACTTGGTATAGACTTCTATTTGTTTGCTGTACCATAGATAGATAGATAGATAGATAGGTAGGTAGGTAGGTAGATAGATCGCCTTCTTGACATATCAGTTCGTTAAAGTGAAAGTACAATATGCTATAGTATGATAGCATTAGACTTTTTCAACATATAGTTTGCTAGTAGGTTGGAGGCCATTGCTATTAGAAACAAAGAAAAAATAGAAGGAACAAAGGTCTACCATCGCATTGAGTGCATCCAACGACATGCCGGGACCTTCCAACCGAGGTTGAAGGCCCTGAAGTGATGAGTCCGAAAATGCTGAAGCTGTGCCCTTGCAATTTACCAGAGTGCTTTATGTCGTTTGTATGAAGATTTATATCTTGAAGATGGCATGAGTTTGCCAGATAGCCAGGGTCATCAACAAGAGCCCCAATGGCCACAAGAAGGCTAAGTACAAGCAGACTATCATCGAGTATAACTGGTCTGCCGCTTAGACAGCTCCCAGAGCGCCCAGGGATTGTGCAGCACCCATGATCCTGTCGCTTTGGAGGCGGATTGACTACTACCCACCCAAGGAGGGTGGTCTCGAAGCAGCTAGAATCCAAGTGGTTACAGCCGATTGCCGGTGCAGCTTCTTGAATCAATATCTTAGATAAGGGACACCAGTCCTGTATTTCTGCCCATTCGGTGGGATGCTGTTCCAATCAATCGACCCCCAAATTGTCGTTTTTGTGCCAAGATCATGAAGCTCAATGTGCCAATGCAAGACACTCGCCAGCAATTTGTGTAAATGCGACAACTTGACATTGGATGGTGATGTCTCATAAAGGGTTACCAGTCGCTGCGGCCCTTCCCTGAGCAAAACATTATTATTACGGTTCTTTTGCGCACGTTTGTTTACATAATGATGTTTCAGAGTATACCGCCTTTGCGCCTGCAAGAGCTTGCTTTTGATGCCAATGTTCCGAACTCCAAGTCAGGTAAGCTTGTCAATGGAGTGAGATCAATCGCTTCTTGGAGAAAACCTGATCAACAGCAAAACTACGGAGGATGAGCATCGCCTTTCAATCAAGACAGTTCTTGTATGCACTCTGCATACCATCTGTCTCACCGACAAGAGCACAAGGTGTGGCACAAAAAGAGATGTGTGATCCGTTCTGGACTCGCTGCAATGCACACCACTTTTTCTGGTTTTGAGGATTTGCTGGTGGCTTTAGATTTGCTGTTGTACTGTAGAACAATGTTGCAGGCTTGGGCATTACGAGGTAGCTCAAATGTGTTCATTGCTTGTTTCGGGCTCTCAATCAGAATACCTGTAAACATGAGCACTGTATACTTTCAATGCACAAGAGTCTCAAGAGCACAATATTCTTGCATATTCTTGCACTATCATGCTGGTGTGCTAGTCTCTCCCAGTGATTCACAGACACAGTGCAACTAAACTGGTTGTTTTTTGGCCGTCAACCACGAAGCAGCAAATCTTTCAGAAAGTGCGGCGGCCTTTGGACATTTCCAATGGCGATCATTTTCCGAACAGTATGTGCAATTCTGACCGTGCCTTTTGCGATATTGCAGTCAGCTCAGCGGTCACTTACAGTAAATAATCTCCATCGTAGCCGCAAGATCAGCACCTTTTTTTCTGGATATTTGTTGTATATAGCTATTGTGATTTTGTCCAGGTCCTTCTTTTATTCCAGTCCGGAAAAGGTCAAGTATGTACAGGACAAGGCACAAAAGCCTTTGGTTGTCCTGAAGGTCTAACCCCTTGGACACCGCTCCCGAAGACTTGCAGGTGGCCTTGCCTTTGCCGCATAGGCTGTGCCTTGGAACAAACAATCTTGGCAGTGGGTCTAGAGCCTAGACTCCTAGACCATTGAGAAGGGTTTTGTTTCTACAAGATTTGCTTCTTATATTTTATTTTGCAGAATCAAGTCTTGGTATACAAACCTTCTGCGCATGACGGTACAGGGACTTTAAGTGATCCTTTTTTACGCCACTGCTACCACCTTCATTGATCTCAAATGCGTTGATAGCAAGAAAATTGTTGGTTTTGACCTCAACTACCCTACTGTACGAAAAAGCAGAATTGCTTTCCGAACTGCGGCTTGCTGATTTTCAGCACTATCGTGTTTATTCTGTTTTACTTTTCTTACTTCCTTCAGTACAATCATTTTTGCCCCCCTTGGACGAGCTAATATGCTGGCGAGCTGTGCTTCATATAGTAGACCCGATCGCAGAGGTTGCAGCATTGAAAAGCAGCTGTCAGCTGTGCTGTATATCAATTAGTTTCTGTAACAAGCCCGAACTTACTTTCTCTTATAGCGTATTTATATAAAATATATATGTATATATATATATACACAATATCATTTTTTTGGAACCTGAATCCTTTCTTGTTTTCTTAGTCTGTGTACGCGCACGATTTGCCAGAAGCAAAGCTTGAGCTGACGACCAAACTCTATATGTTTGTTCTTGGAGACAGTCCAAAGTCCAAACATATAGAACGATAGACTGCTTGAAGAAAAGAGTGCGCCCAGTTGTTCCGGACGTGCCTCAAAGAGTGCCACTTGTTAGATTTTTGAATTTGCCTTCGAAACAATTCCATAGTCTGCTCGAAACATCAGAGACTCCACGTGTTGACTTTATTACAGTATCTCAAAGCCTTTCCCATCCTAGACTTTCTCATGGAAGTTTTTGATCGGATCCATTCCCATACATTCGCTGACTCATTCCATAATGGTTGTACTAGTACAAAGACTATGTGCTTCAAAAACTCTGCATTTTGGTAGTTTTGCCACTTAGGCTGACCTTCGTGAGCCAGTTTGCGCACCTCACTGTTGTGTCACATGAGATGACCAGTGGTTACTTTGAGCCTTGTCTTCACCCGAAGCACAATGGTTCTTTGCCCCTGAATGTATCACATTATGTTTGTTTGTTACTTTTTTTAAGGCGTGGGCTGTCTTGAATGAGTACGGAGTGCTGAAGGCCAGATTTTAGACACACTAAATGCTTTCATCAACAAGATACCTTTCTTGGTGCAAACACCTGGAGGCATCCGGCTCCTGGCTGGAGTTGCCCCGGCCCTTAGCATTTTCCTGCCGGTTTTGTATTGCAGGGATTGGATCTGAAAGGTATTTTGTGGTTGCAACGTCAGTGGCTCTTTTCGTCAGCGCCTGAAGCATGAATGGCTGTGCACTTTGCCGCCAAAAAAACTGACAGGTATTCGGTATAGTCTTGCAGACAAGAGAACTGCTGCCACAGTAACCGAGGTGGCCATAGTCTTTTGGGGAAGTGCTCTTGTCGATCCGGCACTCATGGCTCCAGTAGATGTAATTCTGCCAGCTCATTATCAGTCCATATCTCAGCTATGCCAGATCTTGATCCTACTGCCAAAGTTTCAAGATACCAAGGCTCACCCCTGACTTCAAGCAGCACCTACTTTTTGGAGCTTCTCGGCAGTCTCTTCACATGGGTGGTCTCAGGTATGTTGCGCTGGACTGCCGAGGCGATGTTTGGGCCAACAGACCCCGAACCTGCTTGCAGCTGGCAGACACCTTTCAGGCAGACAAACCATTCTGAACCCGTAGGGTGAACTTACTCGGGCCCACGCCATGTGCGCTTAAGGCTTTTCATGCAGTATGTCCATACGCTCTGCCCACTTTTGATGGTGCGAAGCCGAGATGCATCATGCCAGGAGGAGCGTCGAAGTCATTCGATTCCTCGTCGTTTGGTTCTTTTAGGTTGCTGATATGATGGTGGCAGAGCATCCACTGGGACAGGCTGACATGGAGATCAATGCTACGCTGTGCTTTGCTTTAGGTCGCACGGTCCAAATTTAGTCCATGCAGATCCATGCAGTGTTTCTCGTGCGCCCTTGTCAGGCTTGTGGATGTTGGCAAACTTTCCGGTCAAATCAAACCTGGTGGACCAATGGCCAGATTCCCTTTTCCAAACTATCACAGCTATTGCTTCCTCTTGCAACGGACAAACTTGTCAAGCATTGCGGATCTCACCGTTCAACCATCATGCATCGCTACTAGTAACAAAGTGCCTTACTAGTAGTAACAATGTTCGCTACTAGGAACAGGTGCCACGCTACTACTAACAAGTGCCACGCTACTAGTAACAAGTGCCTTACTAGTAGTAACAATGTTCGCTACTAGGGGCTCCTGGCATCCCTACTGGGAGCAAGGACGCTACTAGGGGCTCCTGGCCTAGTTGAACAGGCTCCGTCTACTTTATTCTAATTGGCCATCACATCCACGCAGCTTACCCCATCGTTAACTCTCAAAGCATGGTCTATCATGGTCTATCTATCTTTTATACTTCTACTTTTTTTTTTTGTTGAGTCTGTCTGTAATCCTTGTTCTTTACGTCAGCTTCAGTCCTAGGAGTCCTAGATTCTTCCGTAGATACTGTACATACCCTCTTCAAATGGTTGCAAGGGGGTATGGTGTTGGGACGAATGGTCAGGTCTGTTGTCGATTCACTCGTTGATTCCAAGGTGTCATGTTGGTTTGACTGACTCAACTCAGGCTACCTAGCTTGGAACTTCTTTTGCTGGTGGCTTCTGCAGACTCCTCCGTATCCTTTGCAGAAACGCTTCTTTGAGACTTGCATCAACTTGGTTGCCAAATTTGAGAGAGAGAGAGAGGATAGCGAGAGGGAGAGAGAGAGAGACAGAGAGGGATAGAGAGACGGATATAATATAGAGAGAGAGAGGGATGGTGAGAGATAGAGAGGGAGGCAGGGAGGGAGGGCATGTGTGCACCATGTGAGTGGCTGAGGAACTTGGGGTACCATGGGCCCTGTTCGCCTACTCAGCTCGGGCCTTCAACCACCCAGCTCTTCTCGAGTTTGCAGCAGACAGTCAGACAACCTCCAGTTTGATTGTTCCAAGTCAATACCCTCACTGAACACACGCATTTTTCCCACAAAGTCAGTCGGGTTCGAATCGTGCTTCGAAGCCAATCAACTTAGTCCCTTCCTCATCTGGAAATTAATGAGATCAACTGCTGGCTAGATATTGTGCACTCTGTCGCTGAGGTTCTCAGCATTTTTGCAATGTCCCTGTAGCTTGGCTCCACTGATCCCTCTCTATATAAGTGTTGCATTGCCCAAGAGAAGAACTGAGAAGGCGTGCGCACAATGTATCACTGACAGTTCAATGCTGCACGCGTGGAATCATGCTTACGCACTACTCGCAGTACTCGTGATTGCATATTGATGTGCCGCCCAAAGGTGTATATACATTCGGTGGGTCCGTGCCGACGCGGCCTCAAAGAGCAAATAGTTTGCCAAAATCAGATTTACCCTGTTTGTTGCTTAAACGGAATTGTTTTGCTTGCTCCATAGCAGCAAGCCACTCAGGTCGGAGGAATATTTGGTGGAGCTCTTTCAGTGGCCTTGGTCTGCTGGGCCAGCACTGGACTGCAGCCCTGGAGAGGCACAAGTTCAGTTGCAGCTCTGAGGGCAAAGTTAAGGATTCAATTAGCTTCTACGCAAGGAGAGCTTGCACGTATCCAGGGGCTAGTCATGAGCCTAGCACAGAGAAAGATAAGACAGAACCTGTATATATATATATAAATATTCTTTTTTCATGATATATTTATATATAGTTATGTATGAGTAGCAGTTCAGCCTTTACTGAGTTACTCGTTGAACCATGCACACGCTGAGGATCCTGAGGTCCTTATGCAAGGGTGGCAATCAGGCAGATCCTTCTTCTTCTAAGCCCAAACGGGGGGGTGCTGCTCATTTGAGTTCCCATCATGTTTGTGCTCGCGTTCGCCCTCCTTTGGGCTTTTTTCAGGAGGCCGCAGTGCCTTCTTGACAAAAGAAGCTGAGATTAAATTCATATCCCAGAGCAAAGCCTCGTAGGAGTTTGATGGTCGCATCGCAGCTAGAACCTGCTGCCATGTGGAATGGGCTTGTGGAATCCGCCACATCTCCAAAACTGTGAGTCAAAGGAATTTGTGCAGCAATGCCTCGAGTTGTTTTGCACCTACCTTACGAAGATAGCCCTCGGACTCGTTTAGCTCTGTGAATTGGGAATGTGTATGGAGTTGACCTCAGCACCAAATAACATGCAGATACATCATGATGCGCTCAACTTTGAGTTTGCTTGTCTTGCTATCTAACCTTTTTCCAATTTAAGATAGGCACTGAAAACCTCTTAAAAAGGTGAAACATTGGGTTGGATGTTGTGAGGTTGACCAGCAGTCTAGTGGATATGTCACTAGACCCATGCTGATCGCTTGACGCCATGGAGATCTCATCAGATGAGGATGAGGATGAGGATGAAGCGCTAGAGAAGCGTGTTCGTGATGCAGCTGCAGAAACTCTGGTCACTTGGGCTTTGCTGCCCAACACTGCCGATGCCCGTCACCGGTTTGATGACCACGGCTCTGACTATTTGATCTGTGATGTAGCAGGTCGCAGGATTCGCGTGGCCCAGAATCGAGCCAGGCAGGGCGAGCTTGGTGTGACTGGCTGCTGCGTATGGGACGCTGCAGTGGTTCTTGCACGCTACTTGGAGTGGGCAGATGATTTGCGCGTATCCCGCACCAAGACCCAGGCACAGTTGACAACAAAACGTGGTCGCTATATACAATAGCGTTGTTGCCCTCCAGCCTCGATGTAAACAGGACTACCTCCTTTGATACCTTCAGGAGATCAACCAAGCTCAGCTGGCAAGGTATACGACTCGGCTTCAGACAGAAATTTAAAGAGGTGGTCAACATTGACCAGAGAATATGAATGAGAGCTAGTAGGTTGGAGGCGATATGTATGAACGATTGTGAAAGCATACCTTCGGTTCGACCAGCAAGGGCAGCGACTTACAAGAGTATACAAGAGCTACATTCCCCATAAAGAGGAGGAAGAGGTCTAGTCTAGTGTCCTTTAAATGCTGGTCTGACGTATTTTGGTATTCCGGTCAGGCTATTCGGCCAGCCACAAGGTCTCAACAAAATCGGAAAGGAGCTTTGACAAGCAAAGGCTAAAAACAGAAACGCACATTCACGCTTCAGTCGGAAAGAGGGACGCCCAACAATCTCCCAGAGGTTTAAAGTCGAAACACTGAAGCAGAAGCTCAGATGCTGTGGGAAAGTGGATGTCCGCCACCTTCCTAAAGACAGGTAAGTGTAAGTGCAAGAAAGTGCTTTTGCTAATAGAAAGAATAGTTCACAGTGCTCACATGCGTTGATGGAAACATGTCTTTCCCTTCATGGTGCCAGTTGCAGTACTTTGGTTCTCCAGAATTTGTCCAGCCACTTAAACTTTTTCCCCGGTGAAGTTCTTTGTTGGTCACTAAATGTTTAAATCTTACATAAGTTGATTACGTGAGTCAAATTTGCAGGCTACAGCTACAGTGCTTGACGCAGTTCGTGGTCTACGGTGCCTTGAACTTGGTGCAGGCTGATGGAAGACACACTCTTTGAGCCACGTTCCAATATTTATCCAGCGAATACAGTATCGAACAAGCAGTTGATTGCTCGCGTGGTTGCATGATGGACATGGCCAGCCCTGTACTTGTGCTATATACCTTGTGCGAATTGCTCAATGGCCACCAAGACTATTCTGCTATCAACCCCTGGCATTGGTGATCAGGAATAGTTCTGTGGATGGATGAGCCTGTGACATTTGCACCAGGAACGATCGCTCGGTGTTATTGTATGTTGTGTGCCAAATTTCAAGGCGTCACTGTCCCGGGTGATTCTGAATCGAAAGCCAAGAGTGGTGTACATGATGGCTTGGCTGTGCTTGGTGCATTTGGTGAGGCTGTCGGCTATCATTGCTCTTCCATGCACCCATACCAGTCTGGTTTGACAATCCCTTAGGGGTATGGCTTCTATATCAGAATGTTTCTCAGCCCCTTTGATCACCACTGTAAGTCGGTGGATTGTATAGTAAAGGCTGCGTGATTGCTGGCTGGCGCCTTCGTAGCAACTTGGGTCCAGGACATGTCCACGCATCTCAGCCCCCCAAATACAAAAGATCGTTCTCAGCATCAATGTTTACCATGGTCTTTGCGTCTCTGCAAATGCTGGTCTGGCCATCGACACACACACACACACACGCACACTTAGATCATGGCTCTCAAGAGCTGTATCAGTTTTGGCAATCCACTCTAGCGAATACAATTCCGGTGTAGAGCGCTAAAACCTGAAACCTGTCAACGGCCATGTGCACAACGGAAAGGTGGCAGGGTCAGAAACATTATGGTTTACACAATCGAAGAGTCAGATAATTGTGCAGGTACAAGATACTGCGTCCAGTATCTCATCCAACCGAACACCATAGCTTTGCTAGCACGGCTAGGTGAACGGCCGCCGTGCCCCCTGCGCTGTACAACGAAGTTTTTCAGCTATTAACTAGTTACATGTGAGTAGAGTCCTTAGTGTGGTCGGATTCCTTGGAAACAGGAGTTGACACACACACACACAAAAGCCGTTTTACGGCGCACCCTGATCACAGCTCTTTTTTTGCTCTGCGGGGAAGGGGAAAAGAGTGCATCGACTAAGCGAGCCTGAACGCAACCTAACAAGCCTGAGAGAAAACCTAACAAACGAAAGAAGGCAAGAAGAGAAAGGGGGTGTGGGGGTGTGTGTGAGGAGAAAGGTACGGGGCCAAAGGCACTGGTCAGATAGCCGAAATTGGCACACCCTTGACTAAACGTGAACCTGAGACCGAGACCAAAAAAGCCTCTAGCAATGAACGAAAACCCGAAGAAGACGAAAGAACCCTGGAAAGAAGGAACGTAAGACCGTGCATGAATTACTCAGTGTGAAACGTACGAGTGAGTGCTTAGCAGTTGACCAAAAAATTAACCTGAAACCTAGAAAGCCTTTAGCAACGAAAGAAAACCTAGAAGATGAAGAGGAACAGCAGGAGAGAAAGCAACTACAAGATGAATACTTAGCTGCGTGTCCTCAAACCTGCATGGCATGTCATTCTCTAAAAAAGTGTCAGTGAGCCCTGCAGCTTCTAATCAGCGATCTCGAGCAAGCAGCTGAATCGGTGGTAGTCGATCAGGAACGATATTTTCAGTCGAGAATCCGGCTTGAGGGTCTATGCTCAACGAGACATGAAAACCCGGTCCCAGAGCGGTTCTCATATAAGTGGTGCAACAGGTCAACCGTAAGGAATATTGTATCTGTTGCTGATGTTTGGCTGATATGCTTTTTTGGCCCCAGATTCTGGCTAGAAAAGTAAGTCATCAGGGACGGCGGGGATCACACAGCACGATCCTGCGGGACACACTTAGATCATGGCTCGCAAGAACTGTATCAGTTTTGGCAATCCACTCTAGCGATTACAATTCCGGTGTAGAGCGCTAGAACCTGAAACCTGTCAACGACCATGTGCACAACGGAAAGGCGGCAGGGTCAGAAACATTATGGTTTACACAATCGAAGAGTCAGATAATTAAAATGTGCAGGTACAAGATACTGCGTCCAGTATCTCATCCAACCGAACACCATAGCTTTGCTAGCACGGCTAGGTGAACGGCCGCCGTGCCCCCTGCGCTGTACAACGAAGTTTTTCAGCTATTAACTAGTTACATGTGAGTAGAGTCCTTAGTGTGGTCGGATTCCCTGGAAACAGGAGTTGACACACACACACACAAACTCAATTTTGGAGCCTGCTTCTCATCACCCATCCCACTGAAAGCTGCTGCCTCTACCCATGCCACAAGGTGGAGTTGTGACTCAGGATGAAAACTATGGAAGTTGTTTTCGCCGCCCTCACCAGGTCGTTTGTTTTGATGAGATCTCTGCAGTAGCCACTGGAATTTCCGAAACACAATGTATCCAGAGCAACTGACAGCATGTTTGCCTACGAACAAAGTCCTATTCCGCAACTCTCCATTCTTCTGAAACTTTTCTTCCGCAACTACTTGGTACTCTTCCGCAACTACTCTTCAGAAACTATTCTTCAGAAACTATTTTGGGATCTTCAGGAACTATTTTGCGATCTTTAGAAACTATTTCGCGATCTTCAGAAATTATTTCGCGATCTTCAGAAACTATTTCGCGATCTTCAGAAACTATTTTGCGATCTTCAGAAACTATTTTGCGATTTTCAGAAACTATTCCGCGATCTTCAGAGACTATTTCGCGATCTTCAGAAAGCTAACTTTAGAAAGTATTCCTCAGAACTTTTACAATGTTGCAGCCAATTTGCATGAAGGAACACTGGGTGGGGTGTGTGTGGGTGGGTAGGTGACGTACCTTGCGACGGCTACGGTATATACATGCTTGTTTTGCAATCAGCAGAAAGTTTTTCGTGCAGGTTTGATGTTGCTCTTCGACTTTTTCTAGTTTCCGAACATTAGTTTCTGAAGAACACCGTAGAGTTTCCGTTTCCGAAGAAAACCTTAAAGTTTCCGAAGATCACTTTTTAGTTGCCGAAGATTAGTTTCCACTTAACAGTTTCCGAAGAACACCGTAAAGTTTCCGAAGAAAGCCGCATAGTTTCCGAAGATTAGTTTCCGAAGAAAACCGTAAAGATTAGTTTCCGAAGAAAGCCGCAAAGTTTCCGAAGATCACCTTTTAGTTTCCGAATAAAACTTTTACCGTTTGCCTACCATGAACGACTTCCTAACACACCTTGAAGACGACTCTTCTCCTTGTCAGTTGCTGGAGGTTGAGGTTATTTTGGTTTGTCCTGATTCCTGATTGATGCTAACCTCATCAATATCCTCGATGATGAGTCATTGTTGGTTCAAGGTGATTGAAAAGTTTTCCCGTTGTTTGACGAGAATCCCACGTTGCTTAAGCCCTTGTTTTTCCCAAGTGCCCAGGCGAACGACTTCCGGAGTTCGTCCATTTGCTGTTTGTGAATTGTGCTGTTCGTGGATCTGCAAACAAAAATCACCAACATGCTGAAGAGGCTGCAGATGGCTGCAACAGCGGAAATGACCCAATCATCATGCCCTTGAAATAGAGCCTGCTTCGAAACATGAAACGCCCTTCAGTGGCAGCTCCAAGCACTATGATTGATTTTGTTGTTGCTCGTCAATGTACCAATGAGTCGTCTCCTATAAATCTCTCCATGGTGTTGATACGTACCATAGAAGAGCGGCCGGGACCAGGCCATAAGCCGCCTTGGGCCCAATGGGGTAGGAACTTAGTTGTTTGATGGTGCTGATACCGAAGATCCTGATAGACCAGGATGATGGCCCGAGCCTTGGCTTTTTGGCCCCGCTGTCACTGTGCTTGAGATCATTTTTCCAGCTCAGCAACCACCTCATCCCAACAATCTCTTTTCCGCAGGAAATACACCACTGTTTGTTCGGAAACATTGCGCTGCAAGGAATTCTTGATGTAATTGTGTCTCGCTTTTGTAAACAGATTAAGCTCCTCGGTGGTCAAACTCTTCTCCTTCACCCCCGCCCCCTGCAAAGAAGGCAATCAATTCTTCCTTTGTGTCTCCTCGCTTTTTTGTTGAGCTCCCTCTTGTCGCTTCATCCCCTTCCTCACAAGCGCGTGTTGGCGCTTTGATGCAGCCTTGTTCCCAAGAAGGGACATCCAGACGCTGAGGCTTCTCTTTTGAGTCTCCTCATCCCCCTCTGGCAGTTGTCTTCAATCTTCATCAGATGGGCCCTCATTGGAGATGTCGCCATAGACCCCTTTTTGGTGCACTGTGGCAAGACTTGTGATTGTCCAAGTCCAATGTCGGTTCTATGCTGTCAGAGCGGATGAAGGCGGTGATATCATACATTGTGTTGGATCTTGTCGCATCCTTCCTGTGCATGTTGGACGCGTCATGACGCGTCCATGTCTTGCCAATGCCAATAATGTACAGTTTGACGCCCCGTCATTCCAAAGCCCCAGTCAAATTCTTCACACTTCAGTGCCCCGAACCTTTTCCTCTCCGGTGAGCGGATCGTCTCCTAGAACTTGCTTTTCTGCAACCTCGAGTGCTTAGCCCTTAGGGGGTGTTCTTTGAAGTTTGGTCAACTTGCGGCCAAACTTCTACATTGCTAAAATGATCCACTGTAAAATGTCAATGTGTGATGCCTCGCTGGCTTCGCGCTTGCCCTTCAAAGGACTCTTCTGACACTTATATTGTCGCAACTGTGCGTTCCCTGTTGCAATAGTCCATGATTTGCACAATAGCGCCCACTGCACGCTCCGCGCAACTGACCTTTTCATACTCGTATTCTTCGATCATAGCCTTCATTGAGTTCGGCACGCCAGCCATAGATACAAGGAGCATTTTTTTAAGATTGTTGTTTTTTTTTTTAAAGCAAAGACAATGCACACAAAGCAAAAGTAAAGCAAACAAAAACAACAACAACATGCAACGTTGCGTCTTTAATGTCGCTCTTTTTCATTTTGTTTTTTCCGCTTTATTTTGATATGTTTTCGCTTTATTTTACATTTTTGTTTGAATCCTTGTTTTCCAAGGAGTGTAAAGCGAATATTGCTGATGGGTAAAAGTTCTCATAAGTGCAGAAGTGGTACCAGGAAAAAAAAACTCTAAAAAAGCAAAACAAATGCAACAACAACGCAACTTGTGTTGCTTTTGCATTTTCATTTGCTTTTTTTTCTTTTTTCAAACAAATAACTATTTGATGGTTGGTCATGTATAGCTGCCATTGCTCGACACAATCATCACCACCATCTTAGGCAATTATTTTCCAAACTTCGCAACTTTGGGAGAATTCCGCTCAACACACCTCCGTTCTTTCCTAGTATTGTTGTAGTTGTCCTGCTTGATCAGGACTGACCTGATTGAGCCTGTGTAGTGGGGAGAACACACGCACACATGCAGCGCAGTGGTGATTGCGAGACTTGACGGCCATTCCATCGCAGGCTTTGTGGTGTATCCCGGAGGTGCAATATTTGTTGCCTGCTCACCTTGAAAGGTGCCGTGAGCCCTTGTGACTTGCCGCCCTCCAATGCTCCAATACGGACTTTGGGCTTCCTTCGTCATCCTTAACAACAGAGCTGGGTGTGTGTCAGCTCCTGCACTGAGGGCTGCCTGCTTTCGGGATGCTTTCGAGGCTGGTGACCGTCTCGCTGACTCTCGGTGATGTTCCGTTCCTCGTGAGCATGAGTGCAAGCGCCACGGTGGTGACCATGTGGAAGGATCGACGTCCTTGTAAACCAAGTGAGAGCCTTTGAAGAGAGCAGGCCTGCTTGCCCTTCATGGGGCCAATGCTCACGTGGAGCTCCACCTTAGACTTCCCCTTAGTCGATGATGTGCGTGCGCAAGAGCTGCTCGGGTGAAGGCTTTGCGCGTTTGGCTTGTTGAATTTTCATAGGACGTTGAGCCAGGAGAGCATCGAAAGCGCGTCACGAAACCAGCAAGGCCCTCAGGACGAGAGTAGGGCTTGGGAGGATACTATATAGTACCTTTGTCCACTCCATTCCCATGTGACACGTTGGTGGGTATCCAAACTTCATGAGCGGCGGAGAAGCAAGGGGCCCGCCTGAAGATCTCTGACGAGGTGTCCCAAGAATGCAGGTTCAGGATGGTTCAGGTACATCATACTAGGTCCACGGCCAAGTCGTCTCATCTCGTAAAAAGTCGTCTCATTGTAGTGTGACCTTGCGGGTTTGCTTTGCACATGCAGATTTTGTATGTTGGTCTTGTTTGCTTCGTATTGTTTTGAGGGTGTGCCCATTGTGATTCGCATCTTATGATGCCCAGTATTTTCCAACAGTTTCTGACCATGCTCATCCTTTTCCATTTCCCCACCAGCCTTCGTCTCCCTGCGCGCGTTCCAACCGGCCACCATGGCAAGCTTCTTGCACGATCGTGGCCATTGGCGTGATTTGGTGCCATGAAAAAACATGTGTTGGGGACTGGGTCTGACCCTTTCCGCGCCTTGTAATCCAGCTGGTCATCGTTTCTTCTTTGCGGCGCTGGAGGTCGTAGACGAATTTCCCGATGCCTTTGGCAAGCTAGTCTGGCGATGATCGCCTCCAGGTTCCAAGTTACAGCTTCCTCACTTTATATTCTCAACAGCTCTGGTGTCCCGTCGTAGCGAGAGGCCCTCATGTGTCCTTTGGATGCTCCTTTGCAGCATTGCTGTGAGGATCAAGCTGTCACCTTTCTCACACGAACAAAGAACCAGGCCTCAGCTGCCATGCAAATTGCCCCATGGCCGCCTAGACTAGTTTGCTATCACTCCGAGGGTGCATGGGCACTGGTGGCCATGAATAGATCTGAACCTGTGACACTTGCACCTTGGTCTTTGTTGTAATTGCTGTGTTGCATGACAGGCTGCGGCCTTGCAGGTTTAGCAGCTGCGGCCCTCGGGGGGCTGGCAATTGGGCAGTCAAGTGTAGATATGGCACGGAAAAACTCTGTCAAAGAATGCATCAGAGGTTTCAAACTTTACTCCTCGAGCGTCTTGACTCTTTGTTGCATTGAGGTAACTCTGACTGACAGAGACGAGACCCTGTTTTTGACTCCAACTTAGATGCTTTGTATCCCACTGACAACACGTCTTGCTGACAATAGAAACCACACTTTAAACATAAGCAAGTCTTCACCATTTGCGCCTGTGCTGAGTTGTCCGGAATATCCTCTAGGCTGGAACGCAACGCCCGCAACTTTGCCGCTGAACATTGCCAAGATCACAGGCATAGCCCCTTTGAATGCCGGCCTTCATGACCAGAAACTAATCCAGCCTGTTGAGCCTTGATCACTGTCCATCCTTCATGGCTTTGTCTGAAATTAACAGGCCTCGAAGAAGTGGCAAAATGTCAGCTGCGGTGGCAAAGGGCCTAGATCTCAAGGGACTAGGACCCTAGACCACACCGCATAAGCAAGCCTAGAACGGCACAGGAAATAAAGGGTGGAGATAGGTTACTGTTAAAGTTTCTAAGGGTACAGAAGCAACCTGCTGTTCGCCGCCTTGTGCTCGGCATCTTGATTGGAGCGAGTGTGAAGCTCAGAGAAAAAACACATATTATTGACCTAATAGAGAAAACATTGGACAGACGCCTTTTCTGGCTGTGGACCTTTTCTTATTTCAACATCTACCCTTGATCCTTTGCCCAGTAGAGTTGCTGCCACTGGTGGTACCCCGGATAGATTGGGGACAGTTGTGGATGCTTGTGCTAATCAATGACCCGCGGGGCCATTGATTCTCCGTTGACCACTCACAGGACGAACAACAATGGAGCTTTGTTTACATCACTTTGCAGCTTCAAATGGCGAAGTTTCTTGCGAAATGTATGAGCCCAGATCCTGTGAGGCCCTTGGAATTGGATCATCCTGAGACACCTTTTCAGGCCGATTTTGCAAAAGGTTTCGTGGGAAGCTGCTTGCAGGGCCTTTGGCTAGCTTTCCAGGGATAGGATTTGGCATGGAGTATGGCTTTGTTTGCTTGCAGCACCTTGGGTCAAAGAGAATATATTAGGTTGGAACGGAACATCAATCATCATGAGAAATCCAAGATGTCAATGACCGATACATGGCAACAGGGTGCTAAAGCCTAATCCTGCGTCAAGGCCAAGCCATAGCCATGGCGTCCACGGACATGCAGGAGATGTACACGGGTTATGACAACTCAGGCTACATGGGTGTGTATCCACAATGGCAAGAGCAGTGGAACTGGGGCACCGATGCAACCGACTACACAACAGGAGAGCAATTTTGTGGCAATGTGGCTTTCTTTGTTCAGTTCCCCGGCATGGTTGGTGGAGTGCCAATGGCAAACACAAACACCAACCAGGAGAGTTTGGAGACTTCGCAAACAACTACATCAAAAGGCAACTTGCATGAGATGGAAGCCAAGATGGCGAAACTCCAAGCCGAAAACCAGAGGCTCATGCACCTTTATGAGACCGAGCGCCAGATGAGGCAGATCGAGGTGCGCGCTAAGCAGCAAATCCTAGAGATGTATGCTGTACCACGCTCAGAGGTGGAACAATTGGTTCGACGCTTTCAGGAGGACAGTCCAACTGCCATGCACTATGGTGAGACTACCACACCCTTTGTGTCCGTGTCAAATGCCAGCACCAGGGCAGGATCGCCTGGAACCACAGGAACCTCAGCCACATCATTAGAAACCCTCCTGCAAGATCTCTACAAGAAGCTTTATGAGCCCGACGGAGAACGCGAGACTCAGGAGGAGTCTGGCACCAGAGATGAAGTTGGCAAGGGGTCTTCCATGGTCAAAACCGAAGAAGAGGAACAGGAAGAGCTCAAGCAGCAGCTGTCCCAGTTGCAGAACATGGTGGAGATGGAGGTTGATGAGCGTGCTAGGGCAAGTTTGTTGAGGATGTCACCACAACAGGGAAAGATCGCTTTGCGCAAGGTAGAAGACATCATCCAGGAGCAGGGAGGCTTTTGCCACAACCTGTCATCAATGGTACAATCCGTCTGCCGCAAGATGGGACATGCCACAAGGCAATGGGCCTAATGAACCTCAGGATCGGCATCAGAAGTATGAATCAACGCTTGTGGAGAATGAAGCAAACAATGTGCGTTTGCCGCTTGCCATATACCTTGGCATATGTCACTGCTTGCCATACATGAGCGGTTGTGACCCTAGCAACTGTCAATCAGTATGATAGTGTGGATGCTTGACCTTGCCAGATTGCACACCTATCACATTTTGGATTCACTTGAACAAAGGCGAAACAAAAACAGGCAATGAACGAACCTTGCACTTGAAGGTGATCCTGGCTGCAGATTGTCCTTGGCTGATTTGAACACAGAAGAGACATCAACTAGCGAGGATTTTCAAGTTTTCATGGCAGATGTCTTTGCCTATCGCGTTTTAGATTTTAGACCCAAAAGAAGCACAGTTCTTGAGACCAACGCATTCCCGAGGCCTCTACTCCCTCGAAGGCGCTGCTGCATTGGCCAGGCTCTTAGAATTCCTTCCACGTGTCCTGCCAAAACAAACACTTAGTCACTTGAGCTATCCCAAGTTTTGGATGCATGTCATCTAATCTAATGTTTCAGGCCGCAGTGGTAAATGCGCTTTGTTGCGAACCAGAAAGCACCTCTGCTGCACAAGGTTTTGGCATCATGAACTGAAACCATGGACACGATTGCTGATATCTATCTATCATTATCTATATTATATCTATATGTATATCTATTTGCAGATCCAATTTTATATATCCGTTAGTCTATCTATCTATCTATCTGTCTATCTGTCTATCATCTGTCTATCTATCTATCTATCTATCTATCTATCTATCTATCTATCTATCTATCTACTCTATCTACTCTATCTACTCTATCTACTCTATCTACTCTATCTACTCTATCTACTCTATCTACTCTATTTATCTATCTATCTATCTATCTGTCTATGTTTCTTTCTGATCTAATCTATCTGCAGTAATCTATGTAATCTAATCGATCGATTGATCAATCAATCAAACCATCAACCGATCAATCAATCTATCAATCTATCAATCTATCTACCTATGCATCCATCCATCCATCCATCCATCCATCCATCCATCCATCCATCCATC